AAAAAAAATCTCTGGGTAGATTCTCCAGCTAAGCAGTGACAGGAGATACATCTTATGAGTCAAATTCCTACCCTGCACAGCACTATAGATGGATATAAAATCACTTTTTGTTTTTCCATAGACAGATTTTGCTTGCTTTTAAGAGCTTTTGTGTACCTTGCATTTATTCTTTTTGTTTACAATGTTAAGTAAGGGGAAGAGGTTCATTATTTGTGAGTATTATTTTCATGGAAAAAATCAAGTTCCTTACATGAAAACAGAAGTCCATTTCATTAGCATCAATGAATGTTAAATACAAGCATGAAGAAGTGATTTTAATCTATTGCAAGTAAGGTTGATCTAAGATCACAAAAATTCTCTTTCAGATGTATGCTTGTCTTTTAGAAATGTAAAGAAAAGGGCAAAAATAACAGTAATTGCTTAATATTTAAAGGTCCAAACTATAAACATTAACACAGTTACCTCAGTTGTGTGTATTCAGCTTTCTAGGTCACAATAATAAGAGAAGAAAAAAGCAGTTTCTAGATTTTAGTTATTTATTTTTGTGTGGAAGAACTGGGGTATAGGTCATTGATTCAGAGGATGATAGTATTCATAAGAAACAGAGTGGGGAGCAGAACAGGCAGATTTGCTGAAATATACTGATAAAGGGAGTAGCTGGCAAGACAGAAGCTGTCTGCTGGACCATGTAAGGGTCAGTTCCCTGGCAGGGTATTCAACTCAGGCCATTAGGGTGATAACACTGAGATTTAACCCCTAGGCCACCAGGGAGGCCCCTTTCTGGATGTTTGTTTGTTTTATTAAGTGTTTGTTTTTCAGTTGAGTTCTCTCTACATTCAGTGAGAAAAATCTTTAAATATTATTTATTTACATGTAACCCTAAAATTCGGGTTGATGAAGTCAATAAAATATTTCTTTTACTAGACTACAAGCACACAAATACAAATAAATACAGCAAGAAGTTACAAAATTTTAAATTAATAGACTTGGATGATTTGTGAGATATGTCTTTTTTTTTTTTTCTACTTAAGCCCAGACACATCTTCTTTAGCACCTTATATTTACTCCACCAAGTTCACGTGGGCAAAGCGATTTGTGGAGTTACAGATGGAACCACGAATTGGCCTTCAGAGAGTATGGTAATGAACAATTTATAAGCACAGAAAATGAGTTGCACTCTCTTTTGCTAGAATGTTGCAAATAGATTTGCATACTAACTAAGAGGAAAATGAACATTCAAATTTTGTCCATAAAGAAAGTTTATTTATGAGTAGATGAAATCATTTGGGATCCAGCTAACAGATAAACAAATAAAGCCAGCATTTCATTTTCTAGTCACTTTCTAGTCTTCTGGTGTGCTGCACTCTAGCAAGCAGTACACAGTATTACATTATTACCACATCACTGCCAATGCATTGGTTGTCAGACTTTGGGGTTATCATGAAATGGCAAGCAAAGTCTTAATATATTTCAGACCTAAATCTTTCAGATACATTGCATTCAAGTAACACTAATAAAAGGATGCAGGTATTAGTCAGAATGAAATGCTACAGCAAGGGGAAACAATAAAGCCTAAGGTATTTCTGTCTACATTGTTCAACATTGAAAACCTGTCAAAACTCAAGTGTGTTTGCAGGCAACAGAAACCATATTTTACATTAATTCGGCCAAAGCATTTTGCTGTGTCAACATCACTGCTATTTTAAAAAAATTTACAGCATGTAAATTTTAAATTGCATCCTATTACTTCAATAGCAATAGAACTAAAGAAGAAAAAACACTAGTGTCAGAGACCATTTCTGTATCTCTGGCCCTTAATATATTGTAATAAGTCATAAGATGGTGGTAACACTGTCTTAAATGAAATCTTTTAAAAGTGGAAGTAGTTCAGTTACCCAAAGAACAATCTATAACAAGTCATTTTCTAGGAGTACCTCCAAAATTCTTTTCCCAAAAAGAGAAATAATTACCTGGAATAGTGGCAAATACAGGGTTCCTGTTTTTGAGATCACTGAAGCAAAACTTAAAGGTCTAGATCTCAACATATTAAAGAAAAAGCTGCTCAACATAGTAGGTTGCCGTCTGTCTGTCTCCCTCTCTCTTAGAACTCATTAGCTTCGTGATAAGTTATGCTTTCCACCAGCACTCAGTGGTAGCTCCTTGTGACTGGCGAAGTGCATGCTGGGTGGGGTCAGGAATGTTGGGTGCATGCTTGCAGGTACTGAGAGTTCAAGGAATTTCATTTTAAGGTCAGAACCTTGATACTGTTCGTCAAGCCCTTAAAAACAAGGGTTATACAAGCCAATCTGCAAAATAGCTGACTGTTTAACTTAGGATATTCAAATGCATGTTTTATTCCAGGGTATTTCTGCTTGATATTTTTTTAATAGAGTCTTTGATTTGGAATTTTTAATTTTATTCTTTGCTGGGCCTCTTTGTTCTTCTTTTCCCTCTTATAAGTATTGTCGAAAGTCTAAACCAGACTTAGTCCTAAAGCTTTCTTCTTTATTTCGAAGAGTGTACCCTACTTTTAAACAAGATACAGTTCAATATCTATTTGTGCTGCCATTTTCAACCAATGAGGAATAAGTTGATATTACTCATGGTATTATTCATTCAAGAAGAACTGAGAATGAAAGGAATGATTTTTAGGGTGCTCAATCACATTCATAATTTAAAATTTTAATTTATGAGCATAATCAGATTAGCAGCTGTAAGAATAAATCAATACCACAAAGAGGAAGGATAGTTATGTATAGTTGGGAATGTTGTGCAGTCTCTTTGGAAGACAATTTGGGAACATTTAGTAATTTAAAAACTGACTATAACCTTTCCTCTTAATAATGTAGCCTACAGATACCACTGCACATGCAATGATGTTCATAGGAGCTTTTTTGGCAATAGCACAATATTGGAAACAGCAAACATCCATCAAAATTGACTAGTTAAAATATAAAATGATTATATCCACTCATCAGAATACCAGGCAGCTGTTTGAAAATGTGGAAACACATCATAGATGCTGTTATGGAAAGATCTCTTAGAGTTATCATTAAATAAAAGAAACACGGTATAGAACGCTACGTAAATCATGGGATCTTTTATACAACAGCGAATTACAGAGGTAGTGTTCTCTCTGTATAAAATGAACACATACAAATTCATGTGCCTAGAATCTCTCTGCTGTAAACTATTAACAATAACTGTCTCTGTAAAAGGGAAATGAGAACCTGCCGCTGACTGGTAAAAAGTTATTACTTATACTTTATCATCATAATACCAACCACACATAAACTGATATTCCTGATTTTTCCTTCAAGGTGGAATAACTAAGAAACCTCAAATACACATTCATGTGGATTATTTATATGCCTTTGAATACTGAAAGTAGGATAATTTTCATGTTCTTTTATTAAGTACCTGGAACTTACTAACTTTCCATATCCTTTGTTGAATTTTCCTTTGGAGTTGCTTTTCTTATTAATTTATATAAGTCCTTTGTGCTGTACAATTAATAAAAAATGAAATAAAAAGGAAATAAGAGTCTAAGAATACATGTGTAGGAGGGAATTTACTTTCTACTCTTAGCTTTGATGTTTAAAGAATTCTCTATATGTCATCCAATAATTTTATACACAAACACATTTATAAGGGCCAATTTTGAGTCCAATTTTGTAGAATTCATAACAAACATGATATTTCAAGCCACAGTAGAGTTCACCAAATCTAATTCAAATGTAATATATGATCGTATTTGTGATCACGCACATAGAATGCCCTAGAAACAAGCTGGCTGTGCTAGTTACCTAAACTATTGCTCTAAATTGACCATAAGGTATATGGATTAAATGAGCTGCATCTGGGCAGGCTAGGCTGGCTGTGTGGTGGCCATGGTCTGTTTAGTATGCAGCCACAGACATAGCCATGGATTCAAAGCAAAGTTAGGACTTTGTGCCAATGTCAATAGGAGATAAGTAAACCAAACCTACAGTATTATTTGTCTCCAAGCTACCCTCCATTTTTGGTGTCTCTGAAGCTTGTAATTAAACAGAATAAAAATTAGCCTATTCACTGGTGAACTTACTTATTACATGGTCAGAAGCCTGACTTCTGTCAGTGATCTTAAGAAATCCTGGGAAAGGAAGGGAAGGCCAGATGACTAGAAAAGATATGGAATGGAATCAAGAGCAACATGTTTAGTTTAGCTTTAGAAACTGGAACTACAAACAACCAGACACACAGATTAAGTGATTCTTATGGGGGAAAAAAAATGCATGGCCCTGCAAGGTGACTGCTGGAGAGGATGGCAGCAATTGGAGGTGGAGTCTATAGTCACTGTGAAATTAAAGTCACCACTACTGTATTTTGTGATAAATACACTCACATCAATCTTTCCCTCTCAGATTACCAGTTATCTGTAACTTTCTCATATCACTTTCAAAGGTTAGAGTAGCAGATTCTGCCCAGGATCACAGCTACCCTACCATATTTCTTGTCATCTTCTGGGCAATTTCATGGTTTTGAAAAAATAAGTAGAACCAAGAATGTCCTCTTACCTGCACACACACACACATATATATGCATATGTATATATACATATGCATATATATGTGTGTGTGTGTGTATTTATTTATACATACAGAGCTCAGAGCTGGGGTGCAGGCCAGAGGTACAGGTATGGTGAGAGGATTCACCAGAGACAGAGTGGGAGCAGAACAGGCCAACTGATGAAGTACACTGCTGAGGGGAGCAGCAGGTGGGTCAGGAGGCGTCTGCCACACCATGTGGTCACCTCCAGGGCAGGGTTTGATCTCATGCTGAAGTTTTAGCTTTAGCTTCTTAGTGTTGTGCTTTAACCCTCTGCACCACCTTGGAGGGCCTCTGCATATATTTTTAAGTTTTTTTTTTAGTTGAGATAATTATAGTTTCACAAGCAGAACCTAAACTATAGAACTTTCCTACACCGTTCACACAGCACTCCCCAGTAATAGTATCTTCCCTAACTATTGTACAAGGCTGAGGCTGATACAGCTCACTGACACATGATTTTTGTAATTAGTGTTTTATCATTTAAAATTTGTGATTAATTCAATATTTATTTTTTTTTTGCCTGTTTATGTGCATGAATGTGTGGTGGTGAAGTTAAACTAAAGCTGCTATATATAACTATGGTTTCATGTCAGTAAAATTCTAATAGCCTTCTTGTGTTTGACAATATGGGTGAAAAGAAGTAAAACTTTTGCAAAGAACCAGGGAGAAGACATTTACTATAACAATATCTGAGATTCCATTCATAAGATTTACTGAGTACTTAGATGTTGAACCCTATAATCCTCAATCGCTGAAACAAGAGAATGGGCACATATATGTTCAATGATGCAGTAGTGGTCATTTAGCCAGACTCTCCTATGCTAGGAGGAAGTAAATCCTGCAATAAAGAATAGAGAGAAGTGGATATGAGAACTAGTCTCTGGATTTGGAGTTTGGCAGAAATCCAAATTCCCTGAAGCTCTAAAGTCATATTGATATTTGTCCTTAAAGGTCAAGGTATTCAGCTGTTCAAAAAAAAAAAAAACTAAGGACCAAAATTCAATGGATTAGGCAAGAATAAATAGAAGGTATGAACAGAACTGGGCAACGCATAAAGGAAGGTCCAAGAGTAAGCAAGAAGGTATCGGTCCCTCACTTTATGGAAATTAAAGGAGCAGCAAAAGGTTCAGAATCAGAAGTCCTGGAATGAGATCACTGTTCTAAGCAGAAGTGTGACAATGAAACATGTATCTTCCCTAAAAACTTTATTTTCTACAAAATAACTATATTGACTTCTCTCCCTCACATAATTGTTTGAAAGATCAACTTGGAAATATCAACATGAAACCAGGCATGGTAGAGACATAAAGTATTGGTTACTGTAGCACAATAAAATAAGATAAAGAATTCCAAAATTAGTTCAGAAGTCCATAGACAGTATGGGAACAGGCATTATGTAGCAGGACTTTGAGCGACACAGCATGTCTACTTGTCTGGTTTCATCATTTGTATCTTCTCCCTAGGGAGAAGAAATATTGATCACATTGCTAAACTAATGGTTAATTTTCAGTCTTCATTTTACCTGAGCTAATTGGAAACATTTGATATAGCTAATCACTTAAATATTTTCTATAACTGGCTTCCAGAACTGATTTGTTTTTTTTTTTTTTTTCCTTTTTTTAAAGATTTATTTGTGCATACAGAACTGGGGTATAGGCCAGAGGTGGTACAGGGGCAGTAAGAAGATTCACCAGAGACAGAGTGGAGAGCAGAACAGGCAGATCGTGGAAGTACACTGCTGAGGGGAGCAGTGGACAGGCCAGGAGAGGTCTGCTGTGCCATGTGGATCACCTCCCAGGCAGGCAGATGGAACTCATATGGAAGTGGCTTCAGCCTCTTTGTGCTGTGCTTTGCTGTGCCACGAGGGCTGTGTTTTCTGATTTGTCTCCCAGTTTTTTGGCTGCTTCTTTCAATCTTTGCCGATTTTCACTCATTTCCCTAGACTTAACATGTTAGGAGTAACCTAGGTTTGAACCTCAGATCTCTTTCTTTTCTTTACATATTCTCTCTCTCAGGAATCTCATTCAATTTCATAGATTTATCTTCCATAAACTGACAACTCCCAAATACATCTCCAAGCCGGATTTCTTCCCTGAACTAACCAGCAGTCAACTTTGTACCACCATCTGGATGTCTATTAGGCTTCTGAAAATAAATCTGCTCCAAATCTAGTTTCTGATTTTCCCCATATGCCCTCTACCCTTTTATTCCCATGGATAGTTCCTCTATCAGTAAATTACCATGCTTTCCTTTTGATTGTTGAAGGCCTAAATTATTGTAAGATTTTTTAGATTTCTCTTCAAGAGCCATCTCCAATTAAACATTAAATCCTACAGTCTCTACTTTCAAATTACATATAACCAACCACATCTTTTTGCTATCTCGATCAACATTATTTTTTTACCTGAATTACTCACCAATCACCATCTTTTTTTTTTTTTAAAGGTTTATTTATTTGTGCATACAGAACTGGGGTACA